AGTTTCTTCATTTCCAATTTGCCTCTCCCCTCCCATCTATGATTGAACCATTTAAATTATTTTCCACCATTCCATTTTTTAATATAAATAAATTCAGATATAAATTGGACACTCTAATTCATCACTTGAGACATTATTTTTTTTCTTTTGTTACCAATATTTTTATAAATGTAGATTATGAACCAAAATTTAATTATTTATCGAATTCACTTGGTGTTGTTTATTATTATTTTTTCTTTTACTATTTTATCATTTAAAATAGTCAAATTTATCTCGTTGTTATTTATGAACAAAACATTAAATTGGAATCTTAGACCCAGTTTATCCTTAATTCAAATGGACAAGAATAAATGATCTCGAAAATGTTTGAAAACCCCGAACGTTGAGAAATGGAACCAAAATAGTCTCAATTATTTGTGGGTTCCTCATCAAAACTTAAAAGAATTTGAAAGTTAAAAAAAGAAAAAGAAAAAGGTGAGAAATGGCATTCCTGGTTTGTGTAAGAGCTCCCCAATGGGTAGAGAGAGACTTTTTTCTACCTTAGAATCTTCCAAAGGGTTTTTAAATATCCTAAGAAGATATAATGGGTTTGGTTTTTCTGTCCAAAGATATTATTTTATTTCTTAAAAGTGAACTTAAATGAGAATTAACAATAACACTAATAACAATTATTAATAGTAGGTTTAATTTGAATAGCTTTTGTGTACTTCTTTTTTCCTTTTTTGTTTATTTTAGTGCTAAAGCAAACATAGTTCAGTTGATATATATCTCCAATTAAGAAGTTGCGATTTCGATTCTCCACTCCCACGTGTTGTACTAAAAAAAACTTTTTTTGTCTATATACTTTTCAAAAAGTGAATTTTAATAATTTAAATTTCATTTTATCTCATTTAATTCAATCAAAATTTTAATATGTCACTCCACTCAATATATTTTCTGAAATATAGTCATAAATTTGATTAAATAGTGTATAACAATTATGTTAATTTTTTATGAAGATAAATCAAAAGGTTCACTTCTTAAAAGTATAAGAACCAAAAAAATCACAGAGATTAAAATAAATTGAAAGCATAGAGGCTGAAATAAATAAGAAAGGAACCAAAATTAAATAATATTTAAAAAAACAAAAGAAAAATGAGTTGATTAGTCAAAGGTTACAGGGTCCCAAAGTTCACCATCTCCCATCCCAATAAAGCACTATATAAGATCAGTGTGTCAATTCTTTTTTGTCCCTATTCCACCACCCCCTACTTTTACACACCCAACAATCAAAAAGGAAAAAAAAAAAACATTTTTAATTTCTTTGCAAAACTAAAATTTAATACTCTCATTTTTTTCTTTTTTTGATAGTGATTGATTAATGTGTCGGGTTTGTATAATTCGAAACTTAAGATTAGAGTTCACATTTATTATTTGTCACGTTGGCTTCTGTTTATTTCACATTACCGACTTATTTCACAAAGTTTATATTTTCAATGATATCTTAATTATGATTGTGAACCAAAAATAGAGCAATTTAAGAAATCGACCAAATGATTGTCACAGTTCAACTAGGTTTCGTAAACCATAGAACCAAGAATTTGATGGGATGGCACGACATAGTAAGGATTAATAAACTAAAATCTCTTTCTTGATTCTATTAATAATGATGCATGATCATTCTTAATTGCCTGGTTAATTTCGTTACCGAATGAGACTATATTTACTAAATAGCTGTGCAAAGGTGATTACGACTGGTTAAATCAAAGAGGTTTGAAGCAATAACGATATACCACGTTGTTAGATATTTTGGACCTCAATTTGACTTGGAATCTATTTTCCCTATCTCGATCAATTAGAAGGAAACAAAAAACCAATCAAAATTAATTTGTTTATGTTATACCCCACATAAATTGAAACTTTATTTTCTCTCAGCCAAACAATAATTTACTCTTCTTCCTTTTTTCTTTTTTTGGTTTTTTTTTTCTCTTTTATTTTTCTTTTTTTCCTTTTTTCCTGATCTGTTTCTGAGTTACCCGGGATTGGGATTTTGAATTGCTTTACGTGCTCCACATTACTTTTGCTTTTTTTTTTTCCTCTCTTTTGAATATATATATTTTTTTCTTTTTTTGGTTGCTTTTTTACACATCTAGTCTGGCAACTGCCATTTTGTTGAGACGTTGTAATGTGTTGTGGCCTTTGCCAGCTTCTGCTGTTTAATACAGCTTTGCTTTGCCCCTCTTTCTTGCTCCCCTATAATCAACTTTTCCGGAACAAAAATAATAAAAAATAAAAGAATTCTAGAAATAAAAAAATATTATATTTGTATATTTCTAAAGTAGTTTTAAAATCACTTCAATTTTATGACTTATACTTTTAAGTATTTTTTATATGAATATTCATGAGTTCGAAAAGTCATGGATTTTTGCCAGGGTAACCAGAGGCATGGTCACTAATTAGCGTGTAATCGTGACGATATTATATTTGTTAAAATTTAGATTAATGAATGCTTCATAAATTTCTCCAAATTTTACTAAATTTTCAACCTGAGTCTAGTTCAACTAGTTAAGACATATATCTCCGACCAATAGATCGTGTGTTCAAACTCCTCTCACTCCACACGTTGTTGTACTTGAGAAAACAAGTTTCTCTAGATTAAATTAAAAGAATATATAAATTTGGCTAGTTAAATTAATGTTGCTGGTCTATCTTATAATTATTTGATGAAATAAAGTTGTCAAATTGTGTCACGTATCTATTTAATTTTATGACTTATTTGATAATAAATTAGTCCAATTAAATTGTGTCATAGCCATCTAACGAAGTCTCATTCCATCTGTAAGTCCATAAAAAAAATTAGAGGAATTCATTCGAGAAAGCCATAAAAAAGTCCGAAGCCAAAAGAATACTCTAGAGACTTGAAAATTAAAAGACCAAAGGATTTACTAAAGATGAGAAGATTAAAGATCTTCTACACGAATCAAAGACCCTAGAGATCTTGAAGGCTCTTAAAGACTTCTTGAACATAAACTAAAGAAGATTTTTGTAAGACAAGAGATTTTAAAGTTCTGTTTCGTAATATTTTTGTATTTTTTATTTCTCATTTTCTAGTTTTTTCTGGTATTTTTCTATCGACAAAAACCACGTTTTATAATTGTTTTTCTGGTTTCCTTTCTTACTTTTTTTATTTAAAAAACCAACAAAAACATCTTTATTAACTATTTCTTATTTCTTATTTTTAAATTCAAACTTTTTATGTTATATTTATTTTTTTAATATTTATTATACATTTTATTAGTAAAGATGATAAAGTAATGTTTTATAATAAAAAAATTAGAAAAATGAACAATAAAAAATAAACTTAATTTTGTTCCAAAATTTATACACAATTTTAGTTATCAAATGTTTATATTTTTCAAAAATAAAAAATAAAAAAATGAGAGATAAAAAACGAGAATGTTAACAAAGGGGTCTAAAGATTCCTAGATTTGAACACAGATTCCTAGATTTTGAACAGTAAAACCAGTTAAAATGTATTATATTTATTTATTGATGAAAGAAATATATTAATGAAGGTAACATGAAGATTAAAATGAGTAGAATGGCAAACTCCAATATTCTCAAAATAAATCGTAAAAAATAGAAAAAAAAAATAAGTGGAAAATTCCAAGAAAGAGGAGACCAATTGCCAAAAAAAATTTGGCTCCACATGCCCCAACATCTCTTCCACTAATTACTAATTACTATTTTCTTAAAATATCATTATTATTATTATTTTATTATCACACTAATTATTCATGTTTATCTATGTCGGTCCCCATTTTTTTATTTCCACTACAACTTTCTTATATACTATACTAGATGGTTGAAATTTAAATTATAAAAATGATTTATATTTCCCTAATCCCTATATTTTTAAATCATGATTTTAGATCTTGGTCAATTAATTTTGAAATATTTCGTATTCCCTAACATTTATTATTGACTTGTACTATTTAAAAAAAATCTCTGAAAAGATACCAAAAAAAGATATTTTATATATATATATATATATATATATATACACGAAAAAGTTTGATATTTGGATGTTCACTGTAACTGTTGACTAATTTGAACATACAAATTAGATTTAGAACGTAAATTAAAAAAAAAAAAGATTTAAATTCTATTTGAGTGGTCTAAATTTTATCCTCATTCTATCTAAGTCACTAAATTTTCCATGTTTCAGTCTTAGTTTATCAACTTTGCATAAGAAAATATTTTAATCATTATTGTCGATGCTTTTAATTAATTGCCTAACAAAAACGTGATACAAATACATGGTTTGTTCATTGAACTTATCCAATGAGATATTTGTAAGCATTAGGTAAGGTGTTCACTTCCAAACCAATTTAAGTCCTGTGAAATGAGTGAAATGATTAACTAGGTACCGTTTTATAACCATTTTATTTTTAATTTTCTGGTTTTAAAGCAAAAAAAAAAAAGTAGTTATCAAATTAACCTTGGCTTAATAAAGCTAAAAATATACTTTCTATTAAAAACTTTAGAACTGTGATATAATACTCAAAAATTGAGAGATCAAAATGAAGATATTATTTAGTTTTCTTTAATACTATTACATATCAAAGTGGATATTCCGACCCTCCATTTTAGTTGAGTATATTTTAACTAATTCAACTACGTGCGGTTTTGTTTTTAGCTAAGATGATTACTATCTTACCCATTAAGTTTTTATGTTTAGATTTGAGGAATAAAATGGGTGTTTTTTCTTTTTTTATATATATTTTTAAATGATGAATTGATAAATGTGAAAGGAAATTTGGAAGTTAGTGTAGATGAAAGCTCAAAATCCAGCAAGGTTTCCCCTTCCACTGCAGCAATAACAACCGCCTCTCTCTCTCTCTCTCTGTGTGAAGATTTTAAATAGCAAAGAGAAAACCCTGAAAGAAGGGGATAAAAGCTTAAAAGGGGAACCCCCATTCTTCACCTTTCAAACTAAATATTCCATTTCATTTCATTTCTCTCTCTCTCTCCCTCTCTCTCACTTACTTCAATTTTCCTCTTCTTCTTCTGAATCTTAAGAGAGAAGAGGCATTCTACTTCAAAGCTTCAATCACAAGAGGGAGAACACAGCAGAAAAGCTTAAAGTGAAAGCCCTCAATTCCATTTCTGTTCCCTCTCTCTCTGTGGCTTCACTTCTTCTCTCTAAGAAAGGAGGATGAGTAACAAACAGGATTTCATGAAGATTCAGGTACACAAACTGTTTTTGGGGGATTTTCTTTTCAAATTAGGGGACTGTTTTTCCCTTTTTGTGTCCTTCAAAAAACTTGGTGGGTATTTCTTTTACCTGAGTGAAATTGATGTTTGTTTGTTTGTTTGGTTGTTTGGTTGCAGGCCTGTGCTCTCAGAGTAAACATTCACTGTGAAGGATGCAAGCAGAAGGTCAAGAAAATCCTTCAGAAAATTGATGGTAACACACTACTACTTCTCACCTCTCTCTCTCTTCAATTATTGGGGTTTTCTTCTCTCTCTGTCTCTCTCTGCTTTAACCATAGTAGAACTTAGGGGAGAAATCTCTAAGACCCATGTTTGCTTTCTCACAAATTCTTTGTTATGTCTAACATTTCCTCAAACATATGTGGTTATTCTTACCCAAGTTTCAAAAAGGAGTAAATTTTGAAAACAAAGGTGGAAGAAGTGTTTATAAACTTGATTTTCAGAAACAAAATGGGATTTGTTACTTTGTTGAGAGATTGTAGTGACTGTTTAGCTTCTGGGGGTTTTGTTTTTAGGAGTTTACACAGTGAAGATAGATGCAGAACAAGGGAAGGTCAGTGTGACAGGAAATATAGATCCAGCTAAACTGATACAAAAGCTTGAGAAATCTGGGAAGCATGCTGAGCTATGGGGGGCTCAGTTAAATCCAAGCAATTTCAACAACAACAACCAGTTCAAGAGTATGCAGTTTCAGAATGTCAAAGGAGGAGGAGGGGGAAAAGACAACAACATGATGAACAACAAGTTTCAGATGGAGAAGGCTTTTCTTCAACAACAACAACAACAACAACAACAACAATTGAAGGGCTTCTCCAACAACAAAGGAGGTAACCACAATCTTAACAATCTCAATAATCTCATGGCTCCTCCAAAAGATAAGAAGTCTGTTAAGTTCAACTTGCCTGAGGAAGTCTCTGATTTTAGTGGTGATGAGTTTGATGATGAGTTTGATGATGAATTTGATGATGAAGATGATGAGTTTGATGATGAAGATGATGAACAAGAGTTTGGCCATGGTCATGGCCACGGACATGCTTTACCAAACAAAATGATGCCTATGATGGGGAAAGGAGGAGGGTCTCTTGGGTCAAATGGGCCCATGGGACCCAATGGGATGATTAATTTCAATATGATGAATAGTAAGAAAAGTGGGGATGGTGCTGCCAAGAAGGGTGAAGTTATTGACTTCCCTGTTATGATGAAGGGTAACAAGGGTGGAGGAGGAGGGAATGAAGGCAAAAACAGTAAGGGAGGAGGGAAGAAAGACGGTGGCGGTGGCGGTGGCGGTGGCGGTGGCGGTGGCGGGAATAAGAGTAAGAGCAAGGGAGGAGGGGAGCAGAAGAAAGAGGGGAAGAAGGGGGGTGGGTTTCTGGGGTTGGGTAAAAAGGGGCTGTTTGGTTTTGGTGGTAAAAATGGGGGCAAAAAAGAGAGTGGCCACAGCAAGAAGAAAGGCAGCAGCAATAATAAAAGTTCAGAAGGTGGTGGAGGAGGAAAACATAATGGCAATGGGGCCAAAAAAGGAGGCAAAAATGATGGCCTCCATGAATTTGACAAGCTAGATATTGGCTTCCATGACCTTGATATTTCCAAACCAAGCAAAGGAGGAAAGGGTAATGGTGGAAATGGTAAGAGTATGGGGCAGATGGGCCAAATGGGCCATGGTAATGCAAACAAGAGCCAGATGGGGCAGATGGGGCAGATGGGGCAAATGGGGCCTGGTGGTATTAATAGGGGCCAGATGGGCCCTGGTGGTGCCAATATGGGCCCACCAATGGGAAATTATCCAATGACTCAGATGGGTAACATTCCAGCAGTACAAGGTCTACCAGCACAACAAATGATGAATGGAGGAGGAGGAGGGTATTACCAAGGAATGGGACAGGGGAACCCTTACAACCCACAACAACAACAGTACATGGCCATGATGATGAACCAACAAAGAGGAGTTGGAGTTGGGAATGATATGTTCCAACCCATGATGTACTCCCGGCCGAACCCAGCCGTGAACTACGCCCCGCCACCGCCGATGTTCCCTCCAGTCGCAACCGACCAGTACACACACTTCTTCAGCGACGAAAATACTGATAGTTGCAGTATCATGTAAATTTTTGCCCCAAAAAAACAACTCTTCCCTTTCCTCTCCCCCCTTTGGTTAATTTTCTAGGACTAGTGCTTTTGTGGTAGCTATAGCCTTAGCTGAATGTAGAAATGGGTGCAAAGTTTTTACAGTACCATTGCTTGTGTTACTTGAGAAGAAAAAGAAAATGGGATCAAACTTTGATTCATTCACAGTTTAATCCCTTCAAAGTTAAAACTCCACTCAGTATTTTTACCGTTTCTTTTGTTTCTATACTGACCTTTCAACTTGCAGAGGTAATAAAAACAGAGCCCTTATGGCTCCTCAGTACCTTTATTGTGACAGGGATGTGTCAGTTGAGTAGTGGCTCTCTGAACTGATGTACTATTATTTTTGGTTAAAAAAAAGATATATATATATTTTTTAGTTTTTCTACACTTTTTGTTTGAATTAAATCTCTGTATTTTTGGGAATGTTAGGGTGGGGTATGAATGAAATAAAACAAGCACAGTGACACTAATAATTTTAACTTGAATGATATACAACACCTTATATTACAAAATAAATAATCTTGACAAACTTAGCGATATTGCAAGAAAATTATTACAAAAGACATCGCTTAAAAGTGGCAACGTCTTGATTATCTATATTAAAAAGTCCCGAACACATTGTCAAAATTTTACTTCCATCAAATCATGAATCAACCTTCAAAATTACTAAGAACTATTGGGTACACAATTCCCTTTTGTCTTTTTTATTTTCTTTCAATTTGGTCTCAAAAACTTCACAAAATTGTTTAATACCCACGTGAAAAATCACCTATTTTCCTCTTTTGTTTACTCAACTATAAACGTTAATATAGTTAGTTAACCATGAAATATCAACTGATTGTCACGTAAATAGAAAATGTGTTACATACTCAATGAAGTAACTACGAGGACAATTCGTTGGATTTGATCAAACCATAATAATCAAATTAAAATTTACCATAAAACTAAATTGAAATTAAACTCAAATGATATGAATCCTGTTGAAACTTTTAAGATCACACATAGGGCAAATTAAAACTAAATACAAACTAAATTGATAACTTTAACTATAAAAATGCATAGACCAACATATTACAAAATTTAAGATATAGTGTAAAAAATATTTTAACCAATTTATTTTCAAATATTTCCTTTTCTTTTCCTTTTTTTTTTTCAATGGCAAATATTTCCTTTTGAAGTACTATATATTGCCCCACTGAATCATTATTTGCTTTCGCTTATCTGTTGTGAAGTCATTATTTTTATAATTATTTATTATTATTATTTTTAGTTCAGGGAGTCTGCCTCTAATGATGGATTCAATTTGTTTATTTCTATAATCTCCAAAAAAAGAAAAAAGAAATTGTATTTTATAAATAGTGCTCTTCATTATTGGGCTAATGTGGGCCTGGCCTGCAGTTTAGTGGGTATCTTTATGGTCCAATTAATGATAAATTTGGCAGAGTGGGATAAGCATGGGATAAAGTATCAATTTGCTTCTCCCTATTTTCATAACTCACCGTGCAGAGCCAAGATAATTCGGCAGTAATTGACCTGTAATCCTCTTTTCGAAATCGAAAATTCAATCTCTTATATCTCCCGTTCTTACTTTTATCACGGTAGATATTAAATTGTTATTTTGACGAATGTATAGACACCATAATTGTTTTTTAACTTTCAAATTTCTTGGAGACCTGCTTAATAAATTAATAACTTTCCTTGGTGTAAATTCCAATCCCATAATTCTAACACTGTGTCATACTATATGTTGTTTAAAAAGAAAAAAAAAAACTCCTATAAAAAAGAAAAAAAACCTTCCCCCATTTGTCAATATGTTTTTTTAAGAAAAAAAATAAGACTGTAGTTTATAAAATAATATATTTATTAATTATATAGTATTTAGGTTAAAAAATATTTTGATCTTTATATTTTTATTGAAATAATCCTCAGTCCTTATACTTCGATTCATAACTATTTAATTTATGAAATTTAGTAGCTAACAAATTAGCCCATATATTTTAAATTTAGACCTTACCATACAAAATATTGTCAAATTTTTCAATATGTATATATATAGTCAAAGTTTCGTAACCTTCTATTTCTTGTTTCTCATTTTTTGAGAAAGAGACATGTTTGGTAACCAATTTCGTTTCTCGTTTCTAAATTTTGAGAAACGTTTCGAAAAAAGAGACTAATTTTTGGAAGCTACGAAAAGTAGTTTCGTTTTTTACATTTCTGTTTCTTTATTTTGTGTCTAGGTGCTGTCTCAAGTTAAATAATATACTTTGTCTCAAGTTTTGAAAAAGGAATGAAATGGTATGCAAAATGCTATTTTTAGTTTATTTTTTTATATTTTATATTTCGTATCTAAAATGTTTTGAAAATTTGTTTTGATTTAAAATTATTATATTTTCTTTTAACAAAAAATTTCTCATTTTTTAAATTAAAAATATTTTAAAATTTTACTTTGAAAGTTTATTTCTATTTAAAACTATTATATATTATTTTTAAAAAATTATATTTTTTAAATTAAAAATATTTTAAAATTTTATTATTTATTTAAATTAATAATTTATACTTCTATATCAAAACAAGTTTATATTATAAATG